AGAGTACTACCGATTCTCCGTAGCGAATGTCCCGTTTCAGGCTGATTCGCCCAGTCGGCGGCTTGCTGGATCCTCGTTTCCAGCGACACATCCTGCCAGTGATATTCGGAATCGGACCATTTGCCGCCTCTCTCCAACAGCGGCAGTGACTGGACGACGCCGAAACAAAACAGTGTCGTCATGTATACTCGAGACCCTTCGCCAAGCCAAGCCTTGGCAAACGTCCTCCCCATAGGTTCAAGCAGTTTTGCAGGGCTTTCTGTCGCCGACCTGGTCCACTCCTTCTGCTCCGGAGTCAGAGAGCTTATGACATCGGCATCTCTCAGCCACTGGGAAACAATCTCGATGTTGCGGTCAGTCCAGATGTCTAGACTTTCCTCAAAGAGGTTCGTCCAGGTGAGAAGGATATCCGGATCGGTCATCATGATGAAGAGGCGTTTGCCGATTTCGGCCTTCTCAGCTTTAGAGATGGCGGTGATTTCGACGTCGTCCAAATGCTCTTGCCAGTACCAGGCAGCGTACCTTTGCGCAGAGAGTTCACCCTCGCGGAGAGTAAAGTACGTTGAATCAGTGAAGATTCGCAAACAAGTCTTGAGAACGTGCAGTCTCGCGTCGGCAAGATGGAACCCAATGGACGGGCACTGCGCGCCAACTGCCTTGAGATTCGTTGACGAGTCTCCTCGGAAGAACTCCTTGACGGAATCATGGAAGAAGTTGACATATGTGGTACTCTTTTTGGAATCATACTGAATCTCCCTGATCACATCAGTGTCCAAGGAATCAAAATGCGGGGTGCTCTCATGCTTTTCAATGAGGTCAGCTGTTGAGAGTCCATCTTCCCGCTCAAGTGTGAAGAAGCAGGAGAGCTTGCCCCGCAGTAATCCTTCAAGGTCCAGCGGGGCGTCTCCCATCTTAAGGGCCAGAAAAGACTCGATTTGCTGGAGGGTCAAGCCCATCTCGGCAACCGATACCCAGCGCAAGATTTCGTTCAGATCGTCTGCATCTCTTTGGATGAAGGATCTGCTGAAATCCAGTACGGTCTTTGTCAACATTCCATTCATCTCCTTGGGGTAGGTTTTCAAGCTGTTGGCAATGTCTGTGAGATGTCTGTTTCTGTTGATTTCAGTCAACATGAACTTGGCTAGAATGAAAAGACCGTCGACTTGTTTGATCATGGCGTCGATGATTTCGTCCTTTTCTCTTTGTGTGGAGTGTCGAAGAATGCGAGAATGGTTGATTCCCTCCTTAATGTACGACTCAATGTCGGCCCCGTTCCGGTCGGGTGTGACAAGTAGCGATCGGCTGATAGATTCATCTCCCATCGATTCCTGAACCTCCTCTGTGAGAGTATTCCGTCCAACCAAAGCAACCTGTACCCTTGTTCCTGTCGAATGTTGCTTGTTCAGGCCGTTCAGCAACGATAAGAACTCTGTGACCTCTCCCGGCTCGGCTTCATCTAGGCCGTCCACAAGGAGATAGATGTGTCTTTTCCATTTGTCTGGCTTGCAGGGGTCTTCGAGTAATTTCCGGAAGGCGCTCGAGACAGTCTTGATCTCATCGCTGGAAGAGATGTTCTGGACGAGCTGTTTGCCGTAAAAGACATCTTGCTCACTGATTTGGTATGCCATGTCTTTGATAGCCTGGACCACGGATCTAGACTCAGGGTTGTTCTGACGGAAGAAGAAGTACCCCATCATGCTGGTGGTTTGCTGTTCGTCGAGCAGATCTCGGCCCCACGATACCATACGTGACGTCAGGTATGACTTTCCTGTGCCGGGATTTCCAGAGATCCAGAGGAATCGAACATCGCCAGCTATCCAAGCCAAGAGAGCAGGGTCTCGCAGAATCCATTCGCAGGTGCCAGCGGTGCGCGTCCTGTCTAGGGCAGTGTAGGTATCCACCGGGTACACGGAGGGTTGGAGAATCTTCTTGAGTTTGTCTCTGTTGGAAGAGAGAGCTTGCTCTCTTGTTTGGGGTACGCGAGTCTCGTTGCGCAGGGTCTGGACGTTGACATCGACCCTCGACATCATTTCCAGGAGCTTCTGCTCATTTGAAAGGGAACGTTTGACGCCGGCGCTGGTTTCTGCGATGACCAGGCGCTCTTCGCTTTCAGTGAGGGAAGCCAGCTTCGTCATGGCATCAGAAACTTTGCTTCCCTTGCCGAATAAATCCTTGGCAAAGCGCTTGAGACGACCCATCCTTGCCTCGTGTGTGGCGATGACGAAGATCTCGAAGACGGTGACGAGAACCTCAACGAGCTTGTCCTGGAGTTCGGATGACATCTCTTGGGAGACGTAAAATCTGAACCTGACAGTGAAGTCCTTGACCTGTTCAAACAAAGTAGTGATGATGTCGTAATTTTCTCTAACACCGTCGGCGGTATTGATAAGGTAAGCGACGACTGCGAAGATGGTCTGGCCCGGTGGGAATACACTTTCGGCAGCTCCTGCTAATGCTTCGCCAGCAATCTCGAGGGGTTTGCAAGCGGCCGCTAGGTTGTCGAATATGTATTTGCGCCTTTCTCGAAACACTTGGAATTTTTTGTTCTCGTCGGCGATAAGTCCCATGAGATCCTCGGTGGACTTGATGGGTGGGCTCATGTAAGCCGTGAGATCAATTCCCTGAGAATCGGCATACTGTTTCTGAGCTTTGGCTAGGACGTCGGCAAACCGCCGGTCGATGGTATCGGAGCCGCCCATTTTCGCAACGTATTTTCTCCGAGGTGAAGATGCAGAGAACAAAGCAAGCACAATAACGCCAGTAGTAGGAGGACGACGACGACGATGAGGAGTAGTAGAAGTGAAGTTTGTCACCCACTTGGCGGGGTGTGTTCTCGGTCAGAAGTTGCAGTGGACGAGAGAAGCCCCAGATTGGCCAAAACCCGGTAGTTGAAAAGAGGCAGGGACGAAGAGACGGTGGACGGGAAAGCAACTGCCCCCAAAAGTTGGAAACGCAGGCTAAGGCAGCGGAAGGAGCGCGGGAGCGACCGAGTGGCTACAACTAAGGAAGTCAGCACTTAAGATCAAATGCTTTTAAAGTAAGGTAAAAGAAGGTGGTGGTGGTGGTGGTGGTGAGACGTGTGTGAGAGATCGGGAGTGACGAGGGGTAGATCTACCTTGCCTCGTACTCTACAAGTAGTAAGGTGCGAGTAAGCTTGCGGAGACTTGGGCAGCTGTGCAATCAAACTCGACCAACCAGTCCGAGGCCAGAAAGACAGCTTGTTCAGTCTGTAAGGTAAGGTAGGCAGGCTGTTCAGAGTAAAGACTGTTCAGGCCAGGCCAAACGAGGCGAAATGAGGCGGTGAATGCATGGCAAACCGCAAGCTGCAAACCGTCACGGCGACGCGTGACATAACCGACGAGACGAAGCCCTGCTCACCTGCTCAGGTCAAGGTCACTGAGGTCAGCTCGTCCGCTCATTGGGGGCCCGGTGGATATCGCGGCGAGACGGCGTATGCAAAGAATACTAGACGAGGTAGCGTAGGATTTTCACTATGGAACCTCAGAAACACCAGAACTGCGGGGTGTAGGTAAGGTAGCTATGACACGTTGGCTCCCGCTGCGAGTGCTAGAGTGGCTGATGTACATCTCTGACAGTCATGACAATCAGCTCCTTGTTCAGTGGGTGAGCCGCTGATTCAATAAGGCTGCCTGTCGCTCACGGCGTCTATCATGAACAGTGATAAAGAGCCTCATTGTTGTTGTCGTTGTAATAGTGAGTCACGGAATAGACGCCATTTCAGGCAACCGAATTACGGTAAGGTAAGGTAACACGAAGCCGCAAATTGAACAGGAACAGTCGCATTTGAGGTGGGATGAGAAAAGGAAAATCAAGAGTGAGATTCACTACAGCTTACGCCACTAAGGTACCGTTATGGGGATCAAGTGGGGGTGCCACAGGGGACTGGTGCCGTATGACTGCTGACATAATGATCACTGAGCTGACATAACAACGCGGAGCATCTCGTCCAATGAGCTTGCAACATTTGCCGGAGTGCCGCTCCGGGACTTGATGAAGGGAGCTCCTTCCGCCGATGTTCTCTCGCCTTTCAAGCCGACGTTGGCTCATTTCTTTATCGAACAAATGGCTTCGTCTTTTGAACTATATGATTACCGATTCTAGGTTGAGTTCAAAGGACTGTCCTTTCACAAAGTGTTTCTTCCATTTTTTCTACTATTAATATGTTTTGAGGTTAGGAATATATATAAATATGAGCAGCTGACGCCTCGACATCAATAACGGATTATTTATCATCTAGAGCCATAGAATCCAGGGGATAATATAATACTAAACAACCACATCGATGCACAAAGAGCCAAAAAAGAGTTCACCCCCCGGTGCTGAATTAGGGCTACATCTCTGGTGCTCATGCTGGGATTCGAACTCGATCTCGGAGCCTGTCGTCGAGTAGGCTGTGGGCGTATTGATTGTTGGACCATTAACCTTTCCACCACCCAGCCAGTTTGTCCTGATCCCCCGACCTAGGGGGCCGCCTGCTGGCTGGTGACAGGAATGAGCTCGACGGCCCTTATGTAGCCTTGCTTCTCGACCTTGGATAGGAGGCTGTGAATCATCATCATACTGCTGCAGTCTACTGGCGTGGCATGCGGTGGCTCACTAGGATTGCCGAGTTCCACCAAGAATTCCACGATTCAACGCTGCCTACTACATCATGCAATTCTCGTAAGTTCATCCTTGACTTCTATCGCATCGAGATTCTCGCGATCGAAATCGATGTTGTTGGAGTCCAGTCATTAGGTCAGTGTCCAGGACTGCGCTCTGAGCGCATTCTTGCAGCCAACAAGATCAGGCTGGGGTTTCGGAATGGAATAGATGGGAGGATTAGTTGGTGCTCACACGTGTAACGTGTACTTCGGTTCGGTTGGCTTTCTCACGTGTACTTCATCATGGCAGGAAAGTCGCCAGCCCATAAGCATATTCAATACGGATTATACACTAGACAGTACACGTCAATGATGCCAGTGACGCCAATAAAACCATCACGATGCTCCAGCCCTCTTCGACCGAAAGAACCCACTCAGTGCTCCCATGAGTTGAGGCAGCCCTTTCTCGTGGCTATCGCCATTCATACCGCCCCGAATCCAGCCAGGAAGCTTGCCCCGGATCCTCTCCGTTCCATACCTGCGATCCACGAGAACAATGGCCGCATAGTCACCCATGTGCCTGATAGCCCGCCCGATGCTCTGGTTCACGGCTCGCATACACGCGTTCTCATAAAAGTCCCTCGCCGCTTGCTTCGCAACCACCAACGCCTCGTCCCTCGACATCTTCGTCGTGCCGGCGGGGTCGGTCAGTCGCTGCACAGTCGTGGTTTCGATATACTCCGTCTTGGCCTTCCACTCGGGGGAGTTGATGTTCGGGTATGGCAGGCCTACGATGATGACGCAGCGACCTAGGCGATCGGAAAAGTTGATGCCCTCGCTCATCTTACCTCCCACGACGCTGAGGAGCAGGGCACCACGAGGTTTGGGTGGCGCTCCCGGTTTCCGGTCGGTGTCGTCGCCTAGAATGGCTTGACTATACGCCTCCAGCACTTCGTCGCTGGATCCACCGCGGGTTTCTCTGAAGGCCTGTTTTCTTTCCTGAAGGCGCTGCCATATTGACTTGGGCTCCTCAGCAGTCCGGCTATCCCATATTGCAACGACTTCATCGAGGTACCCATAACTGGGGAAGAACACGACAACACCATCAGGCACGACGTTGCACATGTTCAAGATGGCCAGACCAAGCTGGCTTACCATGGCCTTGTCAGCCCTGCGCTGGAAGCTGAACTCAAATGTAGAATTTGTGTCCCGATTTGGGCCGGGCCGTGTGCCTGCCAGGGTCCAGACACACAGGTTAGACGGAGGAATGACGTGCCCGCAGCTGAGGGTCGTAAGTTTTGAAGTGGAAAGATAGGGGAAGAGGTGGTCTTTGTAGTCGTCAAATGGGGACATGGTGCCGCCCGCGAGGATGACCGCTCTAGCGCTTGTGGCAATGGTCGAGAAGGCGTGCGTTGGTGATAGTAGTAAGTAAGAAAGTTGAATATCTGGCGGGTTTGTGGGGAGCTTTTCGTAGAAAATGCGTCCCTCGGAGCTGAGATTTGTGAGAGATATCAAGAACGACGATAATATGTGAAGAACAGGTGTCGAAGACCTCGGTGGTGCCTTGACGTGACCTGCATCGGCGGCTTCCTCCTCAACATGGGCCACATAACTCTCGATCTTGTAGGCGAGTTTTGACTCCTGGATGTACTGAATCAGACGAAACAGGTTGATCTGGTCCACTCCCTTGCAGCGTAGGAGGACCTTGGAGTCGACGATACCCTGGGCACTCTGCAATGTGTTAGTCAACAAAAATACGAGGCTTCGAGCATTGCGACTTACCTTGAGCTTCGATTGCCCGTCCATCCACTCGCTGAGACCCTCGACAACTCTGCCCACCTGCCCGACCATGACTCGATTTTCTCCCTTCAACTTCTTGCCAAACTTCTTGACGTAGATACCAAGCATCTGCCGTGCCCTCCTCAGCTCGCTCAACTTCACCTCGGATGCATACACATTGGCTACCGCGTCCATGATATTGTGTGCCTCGTCGACAATGACAACATTGCCCTCCAGCTTGATGCCGAGCGCATCTCTCGCATTCTTCTGTAACAGCAAAGGGTACGGTAAAGTAACGATCTCGGCACCAGCAATCGCCGCGCGTGATGCATAGTACGGACAAACAGACAGCTTCTTCCCCAGGTGATACAGGTCTTCAATGTCAGGCAGCGTGGCGTGAGCGGTGTCCCTGAACTGATGCGTCTCGGCAATGTTCTCTTCTTTCAAAACATGGGGGCACTTGTCCTTTGACTTTGGCTTCTGGAGTTCCGCACAACGATCATTGATGGCAGATAAGCTGCCGAGGCGCGACACTGACGGGTTGATGCAGAGTTTCTGGCGTGATGATAGGGGCAGGTGTTTGACAGGTTCTTTGGCAGGTTGGTCGTCTTCACTTTGACGTTGCACAATCGACTGAGGTACGGACGATGGGAAGGACGGGCGTCGCAGTTCATGGATGAATTGGGTGAGTTGCGAGTGCGTTCTTGACGTGTAGTAAATCTGATAGAAAATCATGTTACCAACGAGCCCAGCAACAACAGGGGCTCTGCGCACCTTGACTCCGTCCGCGACCTTGTCCTCCTCTTGCTCGGCCTTGAGACTTCCCAAGCCAAACCGGGACAGGATATCCTTTGTCTCTTTGCTCAGACCGCTCATGGCATCGCCGTCATTGGCTGACCCAGCTGCGTCAGGCTCATCGAGTAACCACTCGTCATCCTCCTCAGCCTCAAGAGCACGAGGCTTCGATCTCGAGGGGCCATCATCAAAGCGGCGTCGCTTGGCACTGCGAGCTTCAATAGCCTTTTCTTTTTGACGAATCTGCTCCAGCTTCTTCTCTCGCTCTTCCCAGGTGCGGGCGAGTTCATCTCTTTTCCGACGCAGCATTTGCTCCACAATCCAGTCGGGCTCATCCTTGAAGTCGTCCATGTTGACTTTGAGCGATGCCTCGTGTTCCTCAACACGCTGATTCCGCAACCATGTCAAGGACGCGCAAATGAGCGAAAGCGATTTGCCCTAGGAGAGGTGTTAGCACCTGGGCATTTAGAGTTGCAGTTCATGGCATCTTACCGTGCCTGTTGGGCTCTCGAGAATGCCGACCTGGCCATTGCCCTGCTGCAACACTCCGTAGGCGGTTTTCATGAAGTCAGTCTGCACATCATAAGGGGTGTAAGGGTGGTTAAAGTCAATGCCGTCCGGGACGGTCATGTCACCGGGGGCCTTGTCCGCCATGACGAAGTGACATGAGAGATGGACAAACAAGCGCCTTGGAGCTCTTGAAGCTAGCCACTTTACAATGAAAATGGTGTATATGTGTCTCAATGTTAACACGCATCCCAAAATTGACGTGGGTACAGTATTGTGAGTGTGCAGTCAAGGGACGCAAGTGGTCACGGTTGCTAGGTGCATTGGCCAGGATCAAAAGAAAACAGACCCATTGAGCTCACCTCGGTGAGGGAGGAGCATGGACCAGTCCTGCCAAAGACAAAGGTCAGGAGCTCGGTGAGCTACCTTATGGACGGGACGGGGCTGGATGCAGCAGAGTGGGGCCATGAAAAAAGCTGAGGAGACCTGAGCAGGCGAGAATGCAGTGCTGACATAATACACAACAACCACATCAATCTTAGGGCTGGATGCCCTCCGCCCCGCCAATTGCCCGAAGCTCTGCCGCCAGCCTGCCACCACCACCGTCACAAATTTCCTTCTTGCGAACTTCTTGCCAGGAAGTTCCTCAGCGATACTAACCATCAAAGTCGACCACTCCCACAGCCGACGCCATGCCTACCCGATTCTCGCGCACCCGCAAGCAGTACGTCTACCAATCCCGCTCCGCTCCGATTCTATAAATCTGGTCTTGATCCCTCGTCGACGGTTATCGCGCGCGCGCAGTCGCAGTCGGTTTTCCGATGGCCTGAAATGGCCAGCGACCCGTCGTGGGGGATGGGAAGGATGAAAAAGAAGGAACACATACAATGTTATTTTTGGCTTCATGCCATGCAGGCGCGATGGTTCAGAGGGGGTTAAGCATGTTGAAAACAAGGGCGTCAACATTGCTTCCCCAGCAAAAAGGAGGTCGTCGCATCCGTTCTTGACTCTGTCCTCTGCGTTGAAACACGCAGAGATGTGAGGAAAGGACAGGCGTGACACCACCAACTCTGCCATTCTGCGATCCTGGGAGAACTGTCTTCGTTTCCAAATGTACCCGGAAGCTGACTTTCTCTTTTTCTCTCTGTAGCCGCGGACACGTCTCCGCCGGTCACGGACGTGTTGGCAAGCACCGCAAGCACCCCGGTGGTCGTGGTCTGGCCGGTGGTCAGCACCACCACCGCACTAACCTCGACAAGTACCATCCCGGTATGTTTCTCGTTCTCCCATGCAACCGCGAACTACTTGCTAACTTGCGATGATAGGTTACTTCGGTAAGGTTGGTATGCGTTACTTCCACAAGCAGCAAGCGTATGTTCCCCAGCTCTGATCCTGACAAGACCACACCATCTAACATCGTGCAGCCACTTCTGGAAGCCCGTCATCAACCTGGACAAGCTCTGGACCCTCGTCCCCGCTGAGAAGCGCGAGGAGTACCTCGCCGGCAAGGGCGACAAGGTCCCCGTCATCGACCTCCTCCCCTTCGGCTACTCCAAGGTCCTCGGCAAGGGCCGCCTCCCCGAGGTCCCCATTGTCGTCAAGGCCCGCTGGGTCTCCAAGCTGGCCGAGAAGAAGATCACCGAGGCCGGTGGTGTCGTTGAGCTCGTCGCATAAGTTCAGTCAAATCCAAATCATACCAACTCTTCGACGGATGATGTGCGGCACTCTTTGGGGGGGAAAATACAATGATGGCTACATGAGATAGTCACGGGTCATCAAGCGGACGGCGTTCTGCGAAAGTGTCATCCACTGTCAACAAGCTTCGTGCTTGTCGGGTACACGGGAAAAAGGGCCAAGGAAAACGGTTCTTCATTTTTACATAATGATCCGACCCCATGGAGTTTGACGAATAAAAAAAACGAAAGGCTCTTCCCAAATCAAAAAGTTCATGGCTTTGATGATATCCAGGGATCTTGTGCGTTTAGTGGCGTGTCTGGGTTTTCCATAAGGCGGACGGGGTACGATTTGAAATGGTATTACTTTTTACGTCTACTCGTCTCGTCTTGTCTTTATATATGTGTGTTCCGTCTGATTTGTGCCTCTCAACATGATGAATGCTGTTCCCAAGCCCTTGCCTTCTACGACTCAAGCATGCTACTTCCGTACTCCCAAATCCCATATGTTTCGTCCAGTGTTTGTACAGTATATGTCTGACTCCCGCAGCCATCCGTCCCCTCACGCAAGGTGGCCCAAAACACGCCATTGGTATCGAAATCTTTCTTTTTCTTTGGTGTCAAAAACATTATCATTACGCCTCCAGCATATCCATCTCATCGTCATCGTGATCCATCTCCACCGACTGCTTGGGCTTAGGCTCCCTTAAGAACTCGTGCTCCAATGCATCCTTGGCACTGATGCGTCGAGCGGGATCGAGCTCCATGCATCGCTCCAAGAAATCGACGGCCAGCTTCTCCTCGTCTGTCAGGGGAATACCAGGCTGACCGTCTTTGCCACCATCGGTGCGACATGTGGACCACAGGATGATCTTGCCCAGCGAGAATCCAGCGTTGCCGACGGTAGGAATGTTGGTCTCAAACATGCAGCCGTGGAGGAGGCCGGCCTGCTTCATTCGCTTGACACCAAAGATGGTGGCGATCTCAATCATGGCCTCAACGTCGTCGGCGCTGTTGAAAAAGGGGAATCGCTTGCTCATGATTGTCAAAAGGATAACACCCGCGGACCAGATGTCGATCTTGGTCGTCTGCTCGGTGCACTTGAAAAGCACTTCTGGTGCACGGAAACCTCTCGTGCCGGCACGGTTCGCCCTCCTGGACGGCCGAGTATCTGTCTTGGGGTAGCCCTGCTGAGGACCGTTCTGGGATGCTGCGCTGTTGGTGATTCTCTGCTTGCGGACGTCTTTGCTCTCGTGGCAGAGACAAGGCTTACTGTCGGAACCTTCGCGTTCAGCTAGACCAAAGTCAACCAGCACACCGCGTCGTGACTGAGGGTCGTAGAGGAAATTTGTTGGTTTTATATCACGGTGGAGGATCTTGTGTTCGTGGACAGCCTTGAGGGCGGTGAACAGGCTGCGCAGGTAAATGGCCATGTCGGAGACCTTCATCTGGCGGAAGTAATCGCGAAAGTCTTCGTGGCGGAAGTAGGGCAGTATAGCAATGACCTGGTCAGTGGACCGGAAGGCTGTGATCAGGGGGCACACTGCGGCACAGTTCCTCAAGTCGTGCAGTAGCTCGAGCTCGTTGAGGATGCGGTTAGGGCTCGAGGTGACATAGATCTTCTTGATGGCGACATATCGGGCGCGGCGACGTTCGCGGGCTACTGAGGTGTTGCTGGCGTTGGGCTTCAGAGGCGGCGATGTCCACTTTGCGGCGAGGTTGTCCTTCTCCTCGAGATCCCAGCTGTTATCATAGAATTCGTATTGGAGGTCTTCTGCCTTGTAGACTGTCGAGAAGGTGCCTGCAGAGGAGAGCGGGGGTGTTAGTGGAAACAAGAGGACAAAGGGAGCAACATCAGAGTGACGCACCTTCACCGATTCTCTTGATTAGGCGGTATCTTTGGGGGAAGCCGGGAAAGGTATCTTGTAGACGGTCCATGTCGCGTTGGACACCCGTGTCGACTACCTCGTCCTCATCGGAGCTCTCGTCGGACGGTTCCTCGACCTCGACCTCATCCTCATCCTCTTCGACCTCTTCGGTGTGTTGTTCGGACTCGGCCATCATTTCGGTGTCTTCTGTGCGGGCGTGGGGGGGATCTTGGTGGATTTCAAAGTCGTCGCGGCTGCGTTTGCGCGTGGCTGTGGCAGTGGCCATGGAGTGCTGCTGTGGTGTCGACTCTGCGGTCATGGGGCGGTGGGCCAATCGCACGTCTGCCGGGGCGGTAGAGGTGAGTGCCGGGGCATGGAAGGGAGAGGGCGCGCGTGTATGGTTCGAGACAGTGTCTAGGGCTGGACCTGTAGTTGAAGAAGCTTGGTATGACTGTGGGTGATGGGTGTGTGATTGAGTTTGGTGGTGGTGGTTGAGTTGTTGAGAGTTTTGCTGCAGAAAGCTTTGGTGTTGTTGGTGTTGTGGTTGTGATTGTGATTGTGGTGGTGGTGGTGGTGGTGGTGGAGGAGGGTGGTGTGTCTGGCGACTTTGGTGTTGTGGCGGCGGAGTTGGCGTTGGTGTTGTTGCCCAATCGTGCCGGTGCCAGGCCTGGACGTCGAGTGTCTGGCCAAACCGAGTCAATTGATCGATGGCATCCAGGTTGGGTTGAGTGAGGCCAGCTGAGGAATCTCGCTGGGTCGTACACTGCGTCATTCGAGGCTGTTGGTGGAAGGGAATTGAGAGAATGTTTTGTTGTATTATTCGATAGAGTTTTGGACAACAGTTGTCTTCTGAGGTCTTTGCAGAACAAACAGTTCGGTGAGGTACCTTATGGTAGGTATAGCGAGGTAGAGGTACCTGAGGTCCTGAGATAGGTGCTCTGCAGATGCTGCTGCAGGCGTGCAAGGCAAGGACTGATGTATGGTGAGGTGTCTGGGTGTCTTGGGAGGTTACCAAGGGTATTATTGGACGCTCTTGTTTTTTTTCGAGTTTCTTTTCTTCTTTGCATCTGGCAGCAGGTGAACACGGATAGAGAATGAAGGTGGGAATCTTTTGGGATTTCTTTTGGTCTGGTGCGTCCCATCTGATGCACGTCGGCGGGCTCTTTTTCTCTCTGGGCTCTTTTCGCATTCGTCCTTTTGCGGCTTGCCCCAGGTGTCTACCACCTAAAAGGTACATCGCGGGTGGTCCCAGGATGAGCCCCGAATGGCCCCAAATAGTCCCAACTGGGTGCGATGGAGGGGCACAGCGGCGGTGGTCAGTGTGATGGTCCCCTGAAAAACATTGCGCGGACCAATCATCTCGCTTATCCCGACCCCGCACCTCGAAAAAAAGTGACTTCCCACCAAAGAGGTGGCAGATGGAACTGCCAGACACTGCCGGTCGCGTCGGAGCGCAAAAGAAAACAATAAACAAATTCCCACTTGGTTGCTAGGCGCATTTGTCCCCTCCACCCTCCCATCTGCTACCTAAATTAATGATCTCCGTACTTAGACTGACGGATTACACAACCTGAAGTAGAGGCCAAAACACATCGTCAACATCACAGGCCGTTTTGCGCTTCCTTCGCCTTCTTTTGCTTCCTTTTCTGGCGCTGTGCATTACTAACCCACCAGCAACTTGCAACACCACACCGGGCCACACGAGAACACTACGGCTGGTCACAGACATTGACTGACTGACCCCTCCTCTCGTTCTATTTCATCCTTTTGATTCCCATCTTCCATTTTCTTTCCCCCCTCCTCTCGATCGCGTTACGTCGCTGGGTGCGCACACCTCGACTAGACCGCAGCCATGGACTCGGTCGCATTCGACATCAACGATGCGCTCAAGCATTACATGAGCGATCCCGCTAGTATTCCCACCCCAGAAGCTGATGGCTCCCTCTTCGACTACGAAAATGACCCCGAGGGCCTCACCGCCGCCGTCATCAACCCGGTGCTCAACCCCATTGTTGATGCCGTCGCCGAGAACCCCGAAGCCATCACCCGCAGTGCTCATCTCGACTCACTGCAGTTCCTCCTAAAGTGCGCACCCGTCTCTCCTCATCCTTCAGATCCCTCTCTTTTGTTGCCCTCCTTTTCCTCTTCGTCTTCTACTCCCAGGTCCCGTAAAGAACGCCATTCTGAGCTATTCAACTCCTCTAGGTACACCGCCTTCCTCCCGCCACAGGTTCTTAGCAAGATCTTCGACTTGATCATGTCAGGTCTGGCCGCCGAGGGCGATGCGATAAACCACGATCTCGAGTCTCCCGATGAACAAGAGACACTCGCCCACCACAAGCAACTTCTCGAGATTTACGGCTTCCTCCTCCAATGGACAATCGCCGCTGTCGAGACGAAGGCCGCCGAAAAGTCGTCAACAGCACCAGTCGCAAGGGGTCGCGGCAAGCCAAAGAAGAATGCGCCAAGAGACAAGGACGGCGTATGGGACTCGGCCACCCAACTGCAGTCTGCTCTCGACATCATGAGCAAAGTCCTCAAGCTCAAGCTGACCAAGATCTTCCTGACAACCTCTGAACGAGACACCTTCATTGGCCTGTTGACACGGCCCGTCTATATGGTCCTCGAGAGCGAACAGCGCGTCAAAAGCACATCCATCCGCATGCACGCTTTCAAGGTGCTCTGCATCGCCGTCAAGCATCACGGGCACGCATACGGTACGCTGTCTACTGCGGCGCATGTTCGCGCACTCATGCTAACGTACAGCAGCGGCCCAGATCTCCATCGTTCAAAACCTAACATACTTCGAGCACCTTTCCGAACCCATGGCCGAGTTCCTTCACATCCTCGCCGAGACCTACGACTATCCCCAACTTGCCGACGAGATTCTCCGCGAACTCAGTAACAAGGAGTTCAACTCCAACGACACCAAGGGACCCAAGTCTGTCTCCCAGTTCATCGTCAAGCTCTCTGAGCTTGCCCCGAGACTGGTCATCAAGCAAATGACCATGCTCGCAAAACAATTAGACAGCGAGGTAATTTCCTTCCCAGCGCATACCAGAGAAGCATTGCTAACAAGCCTCAAAGTCGTACACGCTGCGGTGCTCTCTCATCGAAGTTTGTGGAAACATGGTTGCCCACCTAGTCAAGCAGGACGAGCGCGGCGAGAACCACAAGTCTCAGCTCAACGCCTTCTTCGACGTCTTGGAAGAGCGCTTCCTCGATATCAACCCCTACTGCAGATGCAGAGCTATCCAAGTCTATGTCAAGCTGTGCGATCTCGAACAAAAGTTCCCCAAACGGCGCCAACGCGCTGCCGAGATGGCGTGCCGCAGCCTCGAAGACAAGAGCAGTCACGTCAGGAGGAATGCCATCAAGCTTCTGGGGGCTCTCATCAAGACACACCCTTTCACAGTCATGCACGGCGCTCAGCTTTCCCGCAAAGAGTGGCAGGCACGTCTTGACAAGGTTGACGAGGAGCTGAATGCGCTCAAGCCGCCCGAAGGCGCGCCGGGACTAGGGGAAGGAGCAGACACCACTGTTGATCAGCAACTGCTTGACGACGCGACTCAGATTGAGCAGTCGCCCCAGAAGCCCGCGCCCATGTCTGATGAGCAAAAGTTTGAGGCCGTCCGCAAGGCCCGCGAGGAGGCTGCCACATCCGAAGCCATCGAGAAGCTGACGCTCACCAAGCGATACTACTCCGAGGCCTTGAAGTTCATCGACGTCCTTCACGAGGCTACTGGGACCGTCTGCCAGCTGTTGGGATCACGCAACAAGAGCGAAGTTATCGAGGCTATGGACTACTTTGAAGTTGGCGACGCCTACAACATTGAGCAGAACAAAGTCGGTATCCGACGCATGTTGCGTCTCATCTGGACCAAGGGCAACAGTGATGAGGGCAAGGGCGTTCAGAGTCATCTCATTGATGTCTACAAGCGTCTGTTTTTCGAGGCACCCGACTCATTCACCTCCAATGATGCGGCCAACTTCATCGCCCGCAACATGATCAGTCTGACGTTTGGTGCGACTCCCGCTGAGTTGACATCGTTGGAGCAACTCCTCAGCACCATGATGAAGCAAGGCTTGGTTCCCGAAATTGTCATTGCCAAGCTCTGGCAGGTCTACGGCGTGCAGAAGCGCGAGATCTCCAGGACACAACGTCGCGGTGCCATCATTGTGCTTGGCATGCTGGCCACTGCCAACCCGGAGATTGTTGTCGGAGAGATGGAGACTATGCTGCGCACTGGCTTGGGTTCCCATGGTCGCGCTGATCTTCAGCTGGCCAAGTACACTTGCATTGCCCTTCGTCGTATCAACCCAACCGGTCGTCAAGCAAAGGAGTCTACCGTCAAGTTCTCCAGACTGCCGAATGACCATGCTGTCTTGTCCAAGCTGGCTTCCATTACCGAGGTCCCATCCGAGAGCAAGGAGTGGTATGGTGTTGCTGAGCAGGCTATCAACGCGATTTACGCCATTTCCAAGCATCCTGATACGCTCTGCTCCGACATTATTCGCCACAAGACGAAGCAGGTCTTTGCCGCACCGCGGTCGCGCTCGGCATCGCAAGCAAGCTCCCAACCTAGCTCACGACCAGTCTCGCGAGACGAAGCCGACTCCGTTTCTGTTGACGAGGACGGAAACGAGACAATTGTTGCTCCGGCACCGCAGCCAAAGAAGCGGGACGCCGCTGTCGGTCTGTCCCAGCTTCTCTTCATCGTTGGTCATGTTGCCATCAAGCAGATTGTGCACCTTGAACTCTGCGAGCTCGACTTCAAGCGCCGTAAGCAGGAGCAGGAGAAGGAGAAGACCGCAGACAAGTCCACCGCCCAGGCGGGCAAGAAGGACGAGCCCGATGACCTGGACTTGATTGGTGGCACGACTGAAGATGACTTTACCGAGGCCATGGCGCACATTCGTGAGCGTGAGCTTCTGTTTGGGCCCGAGTCTCTGTTGGCGCAGTTTGGACCTTTGGTGTCTGAAATCTGCGCCAACAACACCACTTATGCCGACAAGGGATTGCAGGCCGCCGCGACTCTCTGTCTCGCCAAGCTCATGTGCGTTAGCTCAGAATACTGCGAGGCCAACTTGCCCCTCCTCATCACCATCATGGAGCGCTCGGCCGACGCGACAGTTCGTTCCAACGCCGTCATCGCTCTTGGCGACATGGCTGTGTGCTTCAACCACCTCATTGACGAGAACACCGACTTTTTGTACCGTCGTCTAGCGGACAAGGACCAGTCTGTCAAGCGCACATGCTTGATGACGCTCACATTCCTCATTCTGGCCGGTCAAGTCAAGGTTAAGGGTCAGTTGGGCGAGATGGCCAAGTGCCTTGAGGATGAGGACCGCCGCATTGCTGATCTGGCGAGGATGTTCTTCACCGAGCTCAGCACCAAGGACAACGCCGTCTACAACCACTTTGTCGACATGTTCTCCCTGCTGTCTGCCGAGAAGGGTCTGGAGGAGGAGAGTTTCCGGAGAATCATCCGGTTCCTCCTGGGCTTTGTCGAGAAGGACAAGCACGCCAAGCAGCTGGCCGAGAAGCTTGCCGCCAGACTTACCCGATGCGAGACGGAGCGCCAATGGAACGATGTTGCCTTTGCTCTTGGGTTATTGCAGCACAAGAACGAAGACATTACCAAGACTGTCTCCGAGGGCTTCAGGGTTGTTCAGCTCCAGGCGTAAAGGAGAGTGGCAGAGATGTTGTAGGCTGGCCATGTGGCCGTGTAATACTATGGTCATGGGTCGGCGTTGGTGGTTTTGCTGCTTCTGGTCGTTGGTTGGCTGTCTGACTTTGGGTATACCACTGCATGGATGATGAGACTCTACTTAATGATGCTGATGAATTGATTTATTCACTTTAATCATCTGTTGACAGTGGCTCAGTGATGACTTTGGCTATTTATGATACCCTCCGTCTACCTTTATGCTCGCACTCTATGTAAGTGTAGGTATATACAAGCTCGACTAGCCATCTCAAGCCAGTAATCCTGCGTCTAAAGGTTCCTGCGTAAGAACAAACGCATCCCCTCCATTAACCTCAAACTGAGTCCCATTCTCGACATCTCCATTCACCCGAATAACAGACTCCTCGAGACTCGTCACCAACGGCTCCGGCAGGTATATCGTCCCCTTGCTCTCAGCAGGACTCTCAACCACCATCCTCTACATCCCGCCTTCAAACCTCCACTCGACATCAATATCTCCACGCACAGTCGGATACCGTCCCTTAGCCCACCCCAGCCCCAACGTCTGCGGCTCAACCTTCCACTCCGCGAACCCGGGCGCAACAGGTTGGATGCCCAGAATGTACCGGCTCAGTTCCGCTGTCGGGCCTGCAGCCCAGCCGTGGCAGGGGGAGGTTACGACGCCTAGACCGGGTGTGCCATCTGGGTTCAGTGTCTCCCAGAAGCAGCCTGTGTAATTCTCGTGCTTGGGATCGGCCATTGGTGCCCAGAGGGTCTTGAGGAGGGTTAGAGCTGTGGACGCGTCACGAGTGGAAAGTGCTGCGCGGAGGTGGTAGGACGATGCGTAAGGACTGATCTTCTGCGCGAAGCCGGCGGATGTGGTAGAGTTTGAGAAGGCTAGGGGGCCAGAGGGGAGGATGAGGTCTCTTGCGAGGGTGGAGAGGATCGAGGATGTGGCGTTGGGTGAAGGGGGCACGCCGGCTAAGATGGCGAGAGCGTTTGCGTCTTGTGCGAAGCCGGTTGTGAAGGTCGAGGAGAGGATGTAGGCGTTTAGGTCTGGGTTCCAGAGGTTTGTGTTGATTGCAGACCGGAGGGTGTCGAGGCGGGTTTGGTATGTTGTGGTGTTGAGACCCGCGTCGCGGAGGAGGGGAAGAGATTATTGGAGGGCGTAGGCGTATACTACATTGAACTTTGTGACTACACCGGACTGTGGTGTGTCGTAGTAGTTCCAGTCGCCGCCGAAGGATTCATCTGCGAGGTTGAAGAGCCCGTTGGGGAGGGTTTGGGAGTCGGCCCAGTTGAGCATTTTGGATACTTTGGGCGCCCAGTGCTTTGCAAAAGTGAGGTTTCCTCTCATTTCGTAGTTTTGCGTGAGGACGCTGAGGAAGTTGAAGGAGTAGCCAATGAGTCCCGTAAGGTTCGTCTCCAGAGGTTCCGTCAGGGGTGCCTATTGAATCTTTGCGGTGGGGATGAAGAAGCCTGGTATAGCTTGGTAAGACCCCAGGAGGTCAAGTGAGCCGTCGATGAAGGATAAGGTGCTTGCAAAGGCGGCGCCGAGGGCCACGTCGAGGTCGCCCGTGTAGGCGATTCTGTCGCGCCGCGAACCGTCTACGATCGTGTCTGCTGGGTTTGCGCCCATCATGAAGTCTGAGAGGAAGGAGGGAGATGTAAGGGGGTTGGTGTAGATGGTCTCGCCGATGGGTGTGCTGGCAGTGAGGTTGCGGAAGTAGGCTGCGTGTCCGAAGGAGGCGCCGAAGCCGAAGGAGCCGAAGTAGCGGGAGGTTTGGTTTAGGTTGAGAACTGGGAGGGCGTTGAGGGTTACGGTGATGGAGGTCATTGCTACGTTGATGTGAACATCGTGCCAGGTTTCGAGGGTGGTGTTGACGGGCAAAGGGGATGTTGCAAGGAGGGTGTCGAGACTGGTTGAGCCGGCGTGGGCTGCGATGGTGTGGCTGTCCAAGTTGAAGGAGAGATAGACGCAGCTGTTGAGCGTGTCACATAGAACAGAGACGCCGAAGCCGCCTTTGACGGGTTTGGCTTGGATATCGAGACGGTAGTTGAGGAGTTGGGCGGTCACGGCACCGGCTAGACCTTGCGGTGCCTGGCTTTCGGCGTAGGCGCCTTCGTCTGAGACTTGTAGAAAGTCGGGGATGGAGTTCTTGGGGATCTCGGTGAGTTGGACTGTCCGCGCGCCAGTGGTCCAGATGCGTGTGAGATCTTCATCGGAGCATTCGAAGGATCCGGGGAGTTGTGTCACGGGTATGGTGGATGTGGTGGGCTTGACGCCGATGTTGCGGAGTTGAAGGGAGCCGGCGGAAGAGAGGTTGAGCTTCTGGTAGCGGAAGGCGCCTTGGATGAGACGGTTTGTGATTAGTGAGGGGACGGTGATGTTGTATTGGTTCACTCTGTAGGTGTCCATCGCCGCCGCGAGAGGTAGAGGACCATCACTCTGTCTCTCGTTAGTTGTTCATTCGTTATCAGATTCAGGGGTATTGATGGAAGCAAGCTCTTTACCATGTATGAGTCCAGCGCGGCTTTGCTTTCTGCAAAGGAAATCTCGAAGCTCGAGGTATCGCCAGAGGCAGAGATGACCTCGAACGTAGGAAAACCTTCAACACTCTGATCATAGTCGAGGACCACGATAGAAGCAGTTGTCCCATCGGATGTGAGGGTTGTAGTCTCGTTGGAGCTAAGGATGATGGTTCCATCGGTGGATGAGCCTGCTGTTGACTTCTGAGCACGATGGGGCCTCTGGGACCCATGCCGTCCATTGACTGCGCTCAATAGACAGAAAAGAATACTAGCTATTCGGGCTCCTGTATTAGATGATATCAGCATGGTTGTAGTGTTTATATGATATGAATGAAACTTGAAAATGAGCGACCAAGGTGAGGCAAGTAAGTGAGTTTCTAAAATGAGAGACAGAATGTAATGGATGTAATGAACTACCGTATTGTTATATACGCGCCCTCTCTTCCATAGCTTTAAACATCCCCAGATTCCATGCCGTACTTCTCGCCCCTGATCCGAGTTTGCGAATGAATCAAGCCGCAGTTGACGATCTTGAGTGTATTAACCCGAGAAATGCGAGGACCTTGGACTCAACTCTTGCACGCTCGCCGAATACGCGGACCGAGGCCAGTGGCTAGAGTACGAAAGTCACGAGAAGACTGCGGAGCTTTGTATGGCTTGGTCTTGATCTTAGTTGACAGATTATGCGGCCTCAGTAATAGATGCGAAGGTACGAATAGCTCGTCAGGGCTCCCTTGTTTAGTAGACGCAGGCCAACCCTTCGTAGCCAAGCCGCCATCACCGGAGGACGAAGACCTCACTGCTCGCCCTGCTGGACGTCATGGTTTTAGTTTTGCTTCCAGGGCTTTGGGCTCATCTTGATTAGAATTACCTGGGAGTTTCTACAGCTCACAAGAAATGGCGAATGACTTTTCTTAATTCCGTCTTGTGACGGCTTTCTTTAGTTCACAGAGCTCGCCGCCTGCACCACACTCGTTCCGTACAACTTAGTGGTATACACGTATTGAACCTCGCCAAATCTTGAATACATCCCTCAGAAGCTCCTTCCAATAGAAATCTCCAATAAGCTAAGGGCCATGGGAATAAGTATCTGACACCATTCGTCGTGTCTCCGGCGTCCCCAACTTTAGATGACGGAGCGGCTCGGGTGCTCAGGCCCACAACGCCGGTCTCCAACCCGGAGTACACCAGGGCTAATACTCGTTTTCGCCTTGTAAGAATTATGAGTAGTTACTACAAATCGAATACTTCACCGGTAAGTTGTGACTATTGTCACGTCTCTCTACGAAGAGAGGGCTTTCTATAACTTCCATCTATTCAGTTCCTTGGGGTACTTTGGTTCTCGAAGAGTCTTAGAGAAGGCTCGGTCTGACTGAATCCGCATAAGGTTTTGAGATCTTGCCTATAAGATGACAGCGAAGATCATCCCGTGATTGAACAGCTTGATATGGTAATCAACCAATCACCTTCGGAAAGTTCCACACCTCGATCAAAGCCCAGAGACACCCAGGCTAGGCGGCATATCCTCACACGCCCAAGGCAGACTTTGTTGAGATGGACATCTGCCTAAGCAGCCCAATCACAGTTTGTTGCCGCCTTACACTGCAATATTACCTCCCTCTAAGGCAGCGATATGGGCTTGAAGCAAGCCAACAAACCTCGTCAGCGACATTGCTTAGCTATCAGCATCTTACCTTATTGCAAGAGAGCGAAAGGCTGCGGTATAGCTCGGCTTGCCGCTTATGGACTCCCTCTTACTGGCTCTTTTGCCGTCTTCGTGACTCAAGCATTCCCATGGTCGGAGTTTTGTAGCGGTAGCGCGGTGCACTGCAATTTTAGTCCCCCCCCTAGAGAGCAGCACGACGAAGCCAAGACAAGGGGCGTGGCTATAAATCTGTAGAGAGATGGATAAGGGGGTCGTCTTGAGTGAGCTGCTTACATTCGAAGATGTAGAGCAGAAAACCGTCTCTTACAGCGTCGAAGAACAAGCGAACAGTTTATGTACAGGCATCAACGAAACAAAGCTCTTGGAGGGGATGCAATTGGCTTACATGCTCCGCATCTTTGGGTCAGAACAAAGCCTGGAGCCTCAGAAGGCTTGGTTATCCTTCCCATCTACAGGGGAAGCTTCACACAAGTTCATCCCGTCGACAGCCCAGCTTCGAGGTGATTAAGCAAGTTCTGTGGCTCTTCGACCGATCAAGCTTCTGTTCTGGCCAACGCGAGGCCCGTCAAGTATAGGAATATGTCGATAGCCTCACTTTCACACATCGAACCACGCCCTTCTATCGATGCCATGTCCAATCAAACAGCTCATGCCCCTCTTTTACCGTGAGACAAGCCGATGTTACACATTTGCGGAATAGCTCCGGAGGATGGGAATTGCGAGCATAAGTCGAGAAAAAGCTTGCTGCAGATATGCAGGCTGTGATAGATACCTTGGCCTGCCGAATCTTATAGCAAAGAAGGGTCCCCAGCGGGTCTTGCACCGCGATCTTAACCCTCGACGGTTTCAAGGACCTACAGCAAAAACCACAGCCTGCCGCAGGCCATGGTCCTACACTTCGATTCCTGACCAAGGGCTACGGAAAGGTGCGCCCGTGGCCTGCAGGTTAGGCTGACACCCTCGACCAAAGGTTACGTTGGTGGCAAGCGGTTTGGCGGTCCAAATGCAGAATAACGGGCGAAAGTTCACTGCAATTTAGACTCATCTCGAGGAATCAGAGACCCACAGGATAACCATTCACTAGCTACTTTGTGCTTGACCCAGTCTGCCTGAATTAGTGGTAGCACAACGACTCACTTCATGCACCCGACGACTAAGCCGTTGACGTGACCTTCGACCTGAAAGTCCACATCCTGTTTCGGCAGAAATGTGCCGATCAAAAACATAGGGACTTATGGGGCCCGATGAGTACCTCGCTTGACAATAGAACAAGTCGGCTTGATTCTCTCCATCCCGAAAAGTATCATATACACACGTATCTGGATGCGGCGAACATTGAGGAGCGCCGAAACGCGATTGGGTGCGGGGGTGGAACACGCCGCAATACGATTAGCGAAGGGGATCACCACCCCTGGTAGCAATTAATCTTGGCTAATGCAGCAGGATATGTCTCATCCTTTCGGGCCCAGTCACCTACACAGTCCACGACATCAATATGCCATTCCAAGATCGCGCAACGCAGACCCAAAGGGTCTACAAGATAGTGGACTTTCAGTCTTCTTCGGGCCTCACGGCTGGTGGACTAATAGTCATTGACACTTAGGCACGTGGTAAAATGTACAATTTCACCTGCCATGCTAGTCCATATGTATGGTGGCCAGTACAACTCAATCCCAAAGTTAAATCGTACTGGCGACCCTGTCTCGACGGACTTCGGCTAATGAGCAGACCGTGCCTATTAAACATATGCTATGTACTTTAGTCGCGGCCTCCCGACCACTTCCGCACAATGTACGCTGCTGATTGTGAGTGAGAAGCATTATCTCTGACCGGCTGAGGTATCGTCAACGAGCCACCAGCGCCGGGCGAATCAACATGTCCTCGCCACTTTCGTTTACGATATTGATTGTTGGAGCGGGGCCATCCGGAAACACGGCAGCGGCGGCTTTGGCTTCTGACGGGCACCAGGTGACTGTACTCGAACGCGGCTCTCGAATTCAGACCCGGGGAGGGAACCTTATCGTACAACCGGCCGCTGTGAAATGCCTGAACCTGCTTGGCATCTCAGAATCTCTGGACAAGGTGGCTGTGGAAACAGTCAGTGATATCCTATGGAGATATAAGGACGACGAGCCGTTCACAGTCACAAAGGCGATTCCCAGTGGGACGGTCCGGAAGCCTACCGATAGGCCATCACTGCAGCGAATAACCTACGAAGCTGCCATTGCCGCAGGAGCCAACTATCTATTCAACAAGAGCGTTGCCAGAATCATCGACGAGGAAAGTGGCAAACTTCGCGTAGTAGTGGAGGATGGCAGCGATTACGAGGCTGATATTGTGGTTGGCGCTGATGGCATCAAGTCACGCATCCGGGACCTCATGTTCCCCGGACAAAACATGAATGCCACAGTGACAACCGAATGCATATTCCAGACGGAGGTTGATATCGCCATGGTGCAGAAAGACCCAGTCGCCGCTCCGCTTGGCGCTTGCTCGCACCATCTCATGTTCGGCCCCGGGCTCTACTGCGTCGGTCGGCCGACTGCTCATGCCACCGTTCGCATCCTTCTATGCAGTCTACATTATGGGCTTCCATCCGCCGATGCGGATTTGGGTGGAACTTGGAACTCAGATGGCAACCCTGAAGAGATCCGCGAAATGTTCAAAGGGTTCGGTGCGCCGCTGCGTGCCTACATCGAATGTGTGATACGTGGGGGTTACCCTATCGACAAGTGGCACATCGCCACAGCACCAAAGATGGAAACCTGGCTAGGATTCGACGGACGGTGTATTCTTCTTGGTGATGCTGCGCATGCCATGTTGCCGCATACTGCCCAAGGGGTGAGCCAAGGCATCGAGGATGGCTTGGCACTCAGGACAGCCCTTCGCTGGTGTGACAGTCGAGACAACCTGGCTCCAACTTTGAGAAAATAGGAAGCTCTTAGGAAGCCACGCGCTGAAAAGATGTTTGATGTCGGCCACGAGAACATTGTCCTGTTCACCCTTCCTGATGGGCCAGAGTAAGAAGCTAGGGATCAGAAACTCTTAGCTAACGGTTTCACTGGCCACCCAACGGATTGGGAAAGCATTGAGATGGATGCGAATGCTCCGACTAGGACGCTACAATTCACAAAATGGGCCATGTGCTATGACGTGGTTGCAGAGGTAAGTGGCAGTCCCAGATTTCCCATGTCCGGATGTTGAGGAACCACATTGACACGAGGTGTTGACTAGACCAATAAAATATTTGACATGGACCGCGGCTGTTGAAAGACGGCATTTAAAGCAAGACAGAGGATGAATAGAAGTCTCTCAAGCGCTGAGACGAGGAAACGCATATCTTTGAGGTAGAAGCCAAATGGAGCGATAATTCAATCCCTGAACGGGCATTTAGCTAGTCTACTTGTGAACGGATGGTAATGGAATACATCATGTCGACCGCTTTGCTTGAATGTGCCACATAGGTACTTGTCCTCATTCGGGCTCAGCATCTTTAGCAATAAGCTCCACTTGTCCCGGTACCGTCCCCGGAGTCCCGGACTCCCACCCTGCTGTCTCAGCATCTCATCCCGTCGGTTGTTTTGCGATCCGCCGTGGCTGCCCCACGCCAGACGACCTCGGGACCCTAGACTTGCGGCTACCTACATCTAGAGTACGCTGTCTTTTTAGATCGTCCTCCGAGATATGCCTTGTGGTCACTACACATTCTATCTGAACCCGGTTCCTACTGGTGTTGTCCAATCCGTCCCTTGGAAGCGGGAGGCATCTTGTGGCTCGCATTCATCTGTAAGCGAGTGTGAGTGTTGCTACCACAGACAGATTTTCTGGAAGAAGTCCGTCACGCGACTTAAGGCTTCGAAGACTCTTGAGTCGGGGATGAGACTCTTGAAGTACGCCTTCTATATAGGTCCCTTACCTTTCATACGCGACGTGGCCGGTAGCTGAGACTAGATAATACATAAGCTGTAGGCTGTCTCCGATTTGTACTGTGTCCAATTATCTGGACACCAAAAGATGAGGCGAGTTTCCGCAACTCGCCTCAACTGTGGGAAGTCGCATCAACTCTTCACTGCAATCTTGACTCCCCCTGATGCGCTCGAGGTTCAACGAGGCGTGTGGCCAATTCAAAGTGCAATCACTCTCTACATCGCATACTTAGCTACTCCCGACGGCTCTCAGGACAGCAGTAAACATGAGTGATCTGCCGTGGGCCATGTTCTTACACTTCGTCTCCTGCCGAGGGCCACAAAGAGGCGCAGCCGTCAGCCTGCATGACGAAAGGTGTGGTGGAGTGACGCAGTTGATTCACTGCAATTTTAACTCACCTCAAAGGATTAGAGGTAGACCCAGAAGCCCGCAAGGCTCTTCTAAAAGAACCCCGATTTCCTCTGTACCTTTCGAGGGGCATACTGCACGAAGGTAGACATGACCCCAAGTCAGTAACGTCGTTCTTCTGTCTCGCCAGAGGCATACCGACCAGATACCATGAGGCAGCCTGGTACTCGCCGGAAGGATCAGCATGATTGAACAAGTCGTCTTGATTCTCTCCTTCCTGAAAAGTATCATATACACACGCTAGCGTTCTGCCAGCTTCTTTTGCCTCAACCCATCTTTCTCTCTGACAGCTCCCCTCCAAACCCTGCTCTCTTCCACCAGATACAGATATGAAAAATCTAGTTCTTGCTCTGCGGCGCAAGAGCAAAGGTAGGACGAACGAATCTGTGTCATGAATTAGCCATCTTCATCCAAATCCCCATAGACTCTCTTCTCCCTCTGACAATAATCGGCCAGAGGGAAGTGCCATATCAACATACCTCTCGTTGTGGTAAACCTTAGTGTTCTCGCCCAACAGCTCCTTCTCTCTCGCCTGGTCGGCGTACCACCTACGAACCTGGTCGCGGTCCTCCTCGGCTTGGAGGAGGGGGATAAGGTGAATACGCGCCCACATCTTCTCTCTCGCCAGCTCGCTGGTTCTCGTCAGCACTGTCCTCCTCAAGACCATATTTCCCGTCTGATTGCTCTATTCCTCCTTCAGTGGATGGTCGTTGTTGCGTGCTTCCGGTATCCGTGTCCACTGCCTCTCGTTGGGCAGTACAGCATCTGTCTACCAGACCACTCGCAACTTCGTCCAATATCCGGCCAGAAGAGGAAATAGCAATCGTCATGGCGGGAGTGAAGAGACTGCAACGTACTTGGCTTCCCGGATACCCTTGGTCAATTGATACCATCCGTATCCCATCACCAGTCCCATACCGATCAACATTGTGCCGGGGCGGAATCCACGGGCGGGCAAGTTGCGCTGTTTCCAATAATCAGCATGGTTCCCCTGAAATCTTTGACTCCTCGTTGTCCCCATGTGCGTGATCCTGAGTCCAAAGTGTCCCTGATCCCGAGTCCGAGTGTCCCTTGCCTAGCAACCTCTCATCGTCCCAGTTCGGTATCCTCGGTCGAAGTGCCAATTCGACAGTCAATGGCGCTCAATATTCCCGTATCCCAAATGCCTCCTCTTGCTATGATTGCTGCTCCCATAACCAACCCGCTCGACCCGATCGTCCCTTCTCAATTCCTCCTCTTGCGACTCCCTCACCCTCCACGCTCTCCTTCAATCCCTCCACCGCGCCAGAAACAACTCACCTTGTACTGCACAGCCTGGTAACCCCCCACGGGTGGCATGTCCTGAGGCATCCTGTCTCAATCGTTTCCTACCGACCCAACGCGGTCGGCTGCGCTCGTCTAAAGGGTGTGTATAGTTTCGTCGAGTGACTTTCGTCGGTCAATTGCCCCTTCGTTTGTCGGGAGTCAATTGGTTTATGTGTCGAACAAACAATCGTTTCGTTCGAGAGAGCGGAAGGGGGGTATCGGCGTCGATTCGACGGGGGTGTGTGGGTTGCGATGCGATATGGTGGTCGTCGAGCTTGAGATTCGGGGACAAGCTTTGGCCTGGGGTGCCTGAGGTGATTGTTTTCGGGTCGATGGTGATTCGCTCAATTGGCCGATCGCTTATGTAAGGCATACTATGGGTCCATTTTCTCACCTTCACCGAGGTGTGCCCCCCTGGATTTCGGTGAGTAATTGGACATGATTGAGAAGTGTACAATGTCACTCAACTTCATAGATAGGTTGTAACAGTTGATTCATCGAATAGGTCATAAATCTCAACTGGCTAGATATGCACCGACCCAACACCTGATCGTCTATTCACCACCCCCCAACGAGCAGTACTGCACTTTGAATCCTACAAATATTTGCACATCTCAACTCCATGCCATGCTTCGCCAACGGAAAGGCTGGGGTATAAACCGAATAAACCATAGCCAACCAACTTTTTCTTCCTCACCATCGTCCTCACTTTCGCGGCCTTCCCTTGCTTAGCTTATCTTTATATGCATCATACCTCTCGCTGCGCTATGGTAAGGATCACTAGTCCTCTCCGGCGGCAGCGAGCTCGGCCTCAAGGTCTGCCTCGAGATCGTCCTCGTCAAAGTCGTCATCTCCGTTCGCGGCGACGCTGTCCGGTATGAGCGCAACGTCCTCCTCGTCGCCGGTAACTTGAGGGGTAGGCAGGCTGCTTGACTCATTGTTGTCTTCGACGTTGGGAGTCCGTACTGAGCTTAACTTGGAAGCACCACGGCTCTTGGCAATGCGTTGCTTCTTGGACAGCGCACTTCCGCCTTCGTCGGAAGCTGTGTCATCGTCCATGGCTTTCCTCTTGGTACCGCCAGTGACCGCATTTGAAGACTCTTGAGATGAGGGCAGGTCTTCGCCAGCATCGGTATCGCCACTACGGCTTTCCGTATCGGCATCCGAGCTATCGTCGTCGCTCCCGAGGAACTCCTTCATCTCGTCGTCGACACCTTCCCAGTCAAACGACTTTAGGCCGTCTATCGGGCTGACTTGGCCGTCCTCAAACTCGAGCATCATGTTCTCTTCATCCCCATCCTGATCGCCTTCGTCTTCGTCCGAGGCGTCTTCGTCTTCCTCGAGTACGCGTTGCTCACCCGTTTCGTCAATGATTGTCAGGTGTGGCCGTGAATCATCGCCATCGGCGTCAGAAATCGTCTCCGCATCGGTTGACTCGGACAGGGCGAGCTGGCGGCGGTCTGCTGGGTGGACCTCGACGAGGTAAGGCGCTTCATCGACGCGCTGCCATCGACTGAGGCAATCAGACAGCCAATTTTGGCTAACAATCTTGATACTCGGAATCTTGGCTGCCTGCCTGACCTTTTGAGTCCGCGGGCGAGACGTCGAGATAACGAGATGGGTGACCTGCTTGGATACCCTGGTCGAGATTTGAGCGCCAAAGCTCATGGCTTGGATGCCAATCTCGGACTGTAAGACGTCGACGCCCAAGGGTACAAGACCAGACAGGACAATCGTAGTGCCTTCGAGTGTCGCGGCCTTCATCGTATCGAGGACTTCGCCAACATCTGGAACGGCGTCGAGATCGATACCGTCGTCGCCCGTTTTCTTCCGCGGGGCTGACTGAGTAGGCGCGGCAGCGCGCTTCTCGTCGTATTCGGTATAGAATTTGTGGTGTAATTGGGCAAGGTGTTGCTGTAGGTAATGCAGTTCAGCATCGTCGTCGCGGAGGACTTGTGACCGATGTTGTACTGTCATGATATGTGCGCCATTTTCGGTTTCCTGTGTCACCTTTTCGTTTTGTTCGGCTTCTTTGTCAAGTGCCTCTTGCATGTGGAGCAGCGGTCTCTCCTTGATTTGCTGTTCCAACAGTCTTTCTTGCTCTCCGCTTTGTGCTTCCTGCAGGACCTTGTCGTCGCCGCTGCTCATCTTTACCAGCTCGTCAATGGCAGACACCTTGCCATTTGGTTGCTCGGCTGTTGGCGCCTCGCTCGTCTGTGCTGCGGTTGCTGCGGCGGCTGGTGTTGGCTTCGCTTCGGGTTCGGGCGGCGCGGGTAGGATGTCTTGTCTCTTGGGGAGGAAACTCGAGTTGATGTCGCCAATTCCCTTGAAGAAATCGTACGGCACAACCTTGATCAGGTTGGGGCGATTGCTCGGCCACACGTCTGCCCTGTCGTCGATAATGACCACCATATTTGTGTTTACCGGGAATAATCTCTGGAGACTCTTGGATATCATGCTCCCGTTCTCGTCACGGCTAATGACGCGGTTGCCAAAGAGCTTCTGCTGAGGGTCGACGATCTTGGCAATGTTGAGAGCGTATGCGCGCGTTCCCATGGTGTAGACATGGAGCTCGTAAAGCTCGGCAACCTTCTCGAGGAACTCGGCGAGACCGGGACGCATCTTGATGTAATACCAACAGCCGGATGTGACCATGCCCCGTGGGCCTTCATCGTTGAGCTGAAACTTCTTGACGTCCTTGACGGCATTGTAGTTGGGATTTGACGGGTCCTCCATCCATTCGCCAACGGTGGGCTCGATGCAGGCGTGAATGATGGTCTGGTCGAGATCGACAACAAGACTCAGCTTCCGTTGTCGTAGCAGACGCTTCTGGGTATCGGACTCGGCACGCGCAGCCAGGTCGCCGCTGACCATGAGGCCGGTCTGGTCGTGTGTCATGTTGATGGTGGCGCGCTGAGTATCGCGTTCGGCGGTGGCCCAGTTCACCTCGGTCATATCCTTTCCGCAGATGGCGCACAAGCCTTGGAACTGGATTTCGTGGGAGCAGGCCTCCTCAACCATCATACACGGGGCGTCGCGGGTGAATGTCATGCCTTCCTTGAGGCGCCATTCCTTGAGTGTGCCTTCGGCCGGACTATCCCAGCCTACGACGGTTGTTTCCTCCTCTTGCCAGGTGTTGCCAGCGATGGGGTCGCCGACCTCGCGCATCCATTTGAATGAGTACTCGAGCACGCTCTCCTGTTTTTGGACGGCGTCGCCGGGGCGCTTGAGGAGTTTTGTAATGGTAATCGGGTAGCGCAGTCTCGCGCCGAGTGAAAGTAGCTTGCCCATGATGACGGCAGGCTACTGGGAGGGTTTGATCTAAAAGTCTGTCGCGATGGAAAAGGACCAGGGTTAGCAATGCGGGCTTTGAAACGCGCGCGTGCGCGCAGGTGGATGAGAAGCTGGAAGATGCAAGCAAGGGTTGGTTGATTGAAAGTGGACGTGACACGAGGCGCGGTAGGCGGCCGCGAGAGGAACCTTCAATGACGTCTCGAAGGTGGAAGGAGGAGGTGCGACGAACCTAATGAGACTCCCCCAGTAACAATCGGAGAAGGTGCCGGTGTAGTGGCCAATCCCATTGCCCCGAAGCTGATGAGGGGAGTGTTTTGACGAATACGCAACAGATGGGGAAGCTCTGGAGCGTTGCGCTGTGATGAGATGGACGGATAAGTGTATTGTATGGTGGGTGCCTTGTGCAAAGTCTCGTAGTTGGTTGTTGGTGGTGATTGCTGGTGGAGGATGGCAAGAGAGGGAAGAAAACGCGTGGGACGTCCGTATTCTTTTTAGCCTTGGGTCTTGACTGCCTTTGCCTTAGTCGAGTATTCTTCCTCGGGTCGTACCTCAGGCGCAATTGAGTTTTTGGTGACGTGATGCAATTGAACGGAATGCTGGATCTTGTCGCGCGAGATGTCTATTTGGCTTGACGCGTGATATTCGTAATGTGGTGGGATGAAGTTGGCGCTGGTCTCGATGCGAATTGCAATGGGAAGTCGAGCTGTGCTGCTGATGCTCTTACTCGCTTGGGGTTCGGGGGGGGTGTGGAGGTTTTGGAGCTCGGGGATTTCGAGTGGAGGCGGGTAGGTCTGGACCAAACCGTGACGTACACCGCAAGCAGGGCGAGGTGAAGGCAAGGTGAGGCGCGGTAAAGGAGAACCAACGGGGAAAGCGCAGGTGAGCCGCGCGACGGGGTGGGGTCGGCTGTCGGGAAGCACTGACCACTCGGGTAGCTGGAGTGGGGCCGGTCGGTCGGCCTTTCGCAGGAATGCTTTTCCGTAGTAAGGTGTGTACCTTACCTAAGGTAGCTTTTAGGCGGCGGGAGGAGCGGAGCGTCCAGTGGTGCTGGTGGTCTTGGTGTGTGCGTTTGTGTGTGTGTGTACCTGTTCTGGCGGAATCAAGTACCTCGGTGTCTTCGGCAGTCCGTTGCTTTGCCAAGCCTTCGAGTGTTTGGTGATGGAACGTTGAGGTACAGCAACTGCAAGTTGATCTGACTTTTACGTTGGTATTGATGATGGTATTGTAGTCGAGTATCCGTACAGTTGATTTTACGCACTCTTTCTGTGGCACCTTGCTTGTTGTAACGTATCTGACAGACTGACAGAGCTGTGGTGTGATGGCCTTGGAGTGATACGATGCTGAAAGCGAGAGAGATGGAAGAAAAGGTACAAGGCCTGAGCTGTCGAGGTACAAGGTGTGGTGGCTGGCAGAAGGGGAAAAGGGCAGCCTTTTTGGTGTCCGTCAACCACTATCAGCCGAGCCACCCCCTTCTGAAAGAGTGGGATGCGATGGCCTATTTGTACCTGCTGTAGCACCCCAGCCTGCTTCCTCCGTGATGCAGCGATGCAGCGATGCTCCTCTTCCTCCTCCTCTTCCCGCTCATGGCGCCAGCCGGCTTCAACTGGTGGCCGCCTGGTGAACCCCTGCATGAGAATGAGAGCTTCACGAATCACCCCCTTGTTCATTCCCCAACTCGTCCCTCACTCACCCTGTGCCTCACTTCACTCCCCTCTCACTCACAGTCCTGTCACTCTGCCTCCTGTGCCTCACCCTGTGCAGTGCCGGTGCATGAGGCCGCTCTCTCTCTCATCTCAGCTGTGAGCACCCAGATCCATCATCCCACCTCTCCCAGCCAGTCACACCTCTTACTCTCATTGCTGGGTTACAATAGCGAGCCTCTTCAAACAAGCTCATCCAACAATGAGTCACGTGAATAAAGAGCAAGACAGCTCCGACAAGTGAACCTGATGAGATGACTTTACAAAGCCACTTCACATAACTTAATTACATCCACCCTTCCCAATGACTTTCAACATTACCTCAACTATTCCCACTCTCTGTCACGCGCCTTGAAAATAAGCTCCACTGAGTAAAGTATGTACTAGGTAAGAAAAAGCTGGGAGGCAACATGCAGTGGTCAGCAAACACCAGTGACGGGACCACCTGCATCAGTGACTCCCTCTCCAAAGTGGCGTGAACTCGGCACCTCACATGAGCAGCAACGGCAGCCTCCCACCACCTAACCTCAACCTGCCTACCTCCCATTCTAGATCTGTTTTGTCTCCTGATTTTTTCCAGCTTGTCAATAAACCCCTCTCATCCGGCTCTATCCAGCAGCTGCTTTCAGCTTTCCCTCTCTGCCAGCATTGCCTTGATGCTGCCACCCAGTTCTGTCTGTCGATAGTGTGATGCTCCAATAGCGTGATGATCCATGTAATCAAGATGCAGCTCACTTAAGGTAGAGCGGAGAGAGCTTCCCCCAGACTTTACTTGATCTGCTCTCTGATATTGTGCATGACACCTCTACCTAAAAACATCACACAGGATTCACCACATCACAGCCATAAGGAGCCTACTTGGACGCTTCTATTAGGGCTGCATCAAATATCGCTCTTGTTTGTCTGCAATTTCCAGACTCGACTACTTCGTTACCGCAAATAAAAGAAGTCATAATCGAGTATTAATGCCCTCTCTATTCATGAGTATGGGTGCCGCATTGTCCCGTATCCCCAGTGCCGTTCTGATCACGCCACAACCCCGTAAACCAGTCAGTCAGTCGTTCAGTTTCCCCCGTCTCCCACCCCAGACTCCGAATCAGGAAAATAGCAACTCTTCCCCAGAATCCTCTAGCAAAGTCCGTGAAACGCCGTGCCAGCCAATGTTCATTCATTTCAATCAGGTAACGTCCCAGAATCTCCGACGCATTCCCATTCCGATCCCATACCACCCACCTCATATATTGGCCTCGGAGTCGAGTCGCGAAGGATGCTGTCCCCTAGCGCCTCGTTGAGCAACTCCTGATTGACCCCCTAGGCCACTGGTTGCTGTGAGGGCGAGGGTGACACGCGCATCACTCTGTTTCCCAGAGGCTTGTCCCCAGGAAGCCCGGGCAGTGCTCCCATTTCAGAGAGCTTCTTGGTTGTCATATCCGGGTCGGGCTCGTCGTTCCCTATAAACGTCCAGCTCTCCTCGGCCTCTTCGTCTTCGTCTTCCTCAGCATGCGCATGCTTGCCTGCCTTTCTCTTGATCAAGCTCGTCGCGTACTCCATATCGCGGTACAGGCACTGAATCGCGTTTTCCACGCCGCGTTCCTGTTGTTATGTATTAGTTGACCACAAAGTTCCACAACAGAATCAGAGACGTGACTTACACTGCGAATCTGTTCTCCCAGCACGCGAGCCTTGACAATCATACGGTCGTTATGCGTAGCTTCCCAAAGCGCGCGAGCGAAAGAGACTGCACCCCATTTCTTCAGGCAGATACCGACGCCAATGTCTTCAACCCTGCCGCCAAAGAAAAATTGGTCACCAAAGAAGGGTCGGATAATGGTAGGAATACCAGCCCTCAAGCTGGCACCCGTCGTGCCGGATCCACCATGGTGAGCGGCCGCGTCAATCTGTGAAAACAGCCAGTCGTGGGGCGCACTCTTGATGACGAAAATCTCGGGCGGGATGATGGGCTCATCTTTTGCGCTCTCCGCCTCACCCTGCTTCGCCACACGATCCGACCAGCCCTTGGACAAGATGCAGCGCACATCGGCCTTTTGAACGGCGTCAATAACCTCTTGGGTCATCTTGGCCGTATCATTCACAATAATGGATCCGAAGCCAACGTACACGAGCTTCTTCTCGTCCGCTCTCGCCTTGGCGATGAAGTCGACAAGTTCTTGAGGCGGCTTGAAATCCGTACCCTCCTCCAAGAACCAGTAGCCGGTGACGCGAATCCAGTCCGAAAAGTCTAAAGGCGGTGCGACGACGTACTCGGAGAAGTTGTAGAGGAAAGGAACCTTGTTGGGCTGCATCTTCTCGAGGCTGGTGTTGGGCAGCTTCAGTGTGTTATTGCGCCAGCGGTTGACCTGATGAGCAGTCGCCTTCCAGAAAATGTTGTCAAACATGACGTACGTCATGTAGTTGTATGCACCACCCATCTTATATTCGGGCATAACGAATGCATGAGGATAGGCTCTGGTCCGGGTCCATGGCATGGTGAATGCTCTGAAATAGGGGATCGAGAGCTTCTCTGCAATGTGAATGCCTGCCATGGCACTTGGGCTCTCAATGAGGAGATCAGAGCCCTGGCAAGCCTCCCACGCCGAGACCAGCAGCTCATCCAGCCAACCGCGGAACATGGAGTTGGCCTCCCGCAGGAAAGCCCAAGTGAACGTACCGTTCTCGATGCAGAGTCTCATGAGCTCACCAGGATCACCGTCGACCTTGGCAAATTCGATACCGTGGCCCTCGATCCAGTCCTTGAACTCGGCGTGAGTAGCGATCCGAGGCTTATGGCCTTCTGCAATCAAGCCCTTGCACAGCGCAATGTACGGTTGAACGTCACCTCTGGAGCCGATCGTCAAGCAGGTGATCTTCATCGAGTGGGGAGGCTTGAAGTTGAGGAATGAGGCTTTGGGGTCGTCGAACAATATCGTCGGCGCATCGCTCACGCCTGAGCCTTCCTTTGGCAGGCGGAGTTCGTGGTCGTGGAATTCCTCGACTTGGCGGGCCTCCTTCAACGCGTCGCGCTCGGCCATGGCGTTCTCCTCTTCTTCCTTCTCGTCCAGGTCCAGGTCTCCCGACTCCTTGAGATAGCGTGTCGTCTCCAGGCTTTGCAATAGAGTAACGGCGCAGTCATCTCGGAGTTCGGCCTGACCAAACTCGAAAAAGACCTCCTCGTGGCCACGAATGACAACCACCAAGCCGGAGTAGCCGAACCGGAAACCCTTCTCCTTGTCCACATTCTCAATGTCCTTCAAAGGGAGAATGAGCTTGGTCCTCGTTCCAGGCAACAAGCTGCGGAAGCAGAAGGACTTGTCGCTGATGTAGATCTTGCCGTACAATGGCAAGACACGCAAGATATAGCCGAAGTAGGTCGCTTGAAGCTTCTCCGTCTCGGGCAGCGCGAAATGTGCGCGGAACCGATCCATGGAAGTCTGGATCTTGCCCTCTGCATCCTCGTATAGATCTTCATCGTCCGTCTTAATTTCGGGCGGAGCATCATAGTGCTTTCGGCCGCCTCGCCACATGCCAGACACCTTTTCGACGTAACCCATTGATTCCGTTGCCAGCATGGAGCCCAACTTACCACTAGTGCTATTGAGATACTGGGCAAAGGCGCCCACTCGCTGCAGGGGAAATGCGCCCATCTTGGTGATGCTCTGCAGTGTAGGGGTCACGGGAGGCTTGTCGCCATCATTGATGGAGCCTGTCGTTGCAGCATGTTGGCCACTGTATGCGGCCAATGCAGGAGGGCTCCTGTTGTCGCGGCGCTGATTCTTTTCGAGCTCGGTCCGTGAGGCAGACGCTGAGCGTCGCACCGTCGGGTTCTGGAAGACGTCGCTGCCGCGCAGGATTTGGCTTGCCGAGGGGTCCTCGTTTGATGATGCCACCATGCCAGAATAGCTCGGGTCTTCCATCGAAGACTGCACATATGAGTCAGTAGACCCTTGCTTGTGGGTTCCGTGACGAGAGTCGTCTAGACGGTTCCTGCTCATGGAGCGCCGATTGCCGCTGAAGCTGCGCCGGGGCGAGGAATCGCGAATGATGGTCGACAGGTCCAAACTACGGCGGCGGAACCCCCTAAAGGCATCGAAACTAGCTCGCGCAGCATCCATACTGGCACGTGGGCTGAGAGCCGAAGGACTGTGAGCAGACAGTGGCGACAGCGTCGCCTTGACAGCATCGGGCAGCTTGGTCGTCCTAAGCTTCGGCGGCGCGATGCGTCTACTTGCACTCATGGAGCTGCGGGCCGAAGCCGGCACCGGCTGCCTCTCTTGCCTCTCCTGCTCCTCTTGGGCTTGCGCTGCCTTGAGAAGGGCTGCATCCTTTGCGCTAGACGAGGCATCCTCAATGAGAATCTTGAGCACACTGATGGCGTCTTTGCCGAAGCTGAAAAAGGAGAAAAAGTATTCATCAATGGCGTAGGTCTCGTCATTGTCAATGACGCGAATCTTGCACGTATCGGCAAACTCGAGCATCTGAGTATCCTCAATATCGATGACATTCTCGATGGGCAGCGAGATTTTTACACTGTCACCCTCATTGTGAGAGCGGAAAATGACTCTCTGCAGACTCTTGACCCATTCCTTGGCACTGGGAGCGCTATCGGCGCGGAAGTGGTAGGTCCGGTGGTGAGTGACGACGGTGAAGGTGAGGCCATCCTTGTTGTTGTTCACGCTGGCTGAGATACCGTAACGGAGGTCGATCTGGCCGCTGGGGAAGTAGACGTTGGAGGGGTCCTTGTAGTATGCTAGAACATCGCCCTTGAGGCGGAACCAGTAGCGATTGTACTTTGGATTGCGCTTGCCGCTCTTGGATAGATAGCCCGACTTGACGACCTCGTGCTATAATTTCCTATCAGTATGTATTGCAGCAAGACGGGTGGTAGGTAAGGCGATTACGCACCGCCTTCTTGGGTAGGTAGGCATAGAAGCAAATATGCTTTGCCGTGATGTACATGTAGCCCTGGAGTAGTACGCTCTGGAGCAACCAACAAGGGTATTCTACATGCGTATTAGCTTATTGCGACCATTACGGCGGGGCATTGTTCATGGACATACCCTCGATGACAGCTTCGGGATGGTCAAACTCAAAGATATCCTGCAGACGGCGCGCCAACGCAGTGGAGTTTGAATCGCCAGAGTCGCTGTAATTCAGCTGGTCGCTAGACCGGCGGTCAACGTCGAAACTGGGTCTTGCGGACATTTCCGCCTTTGCCTCGAGCATCCTGCTCATAACGGGGGCCAGGCGGTGGCCGTCTTGGTCATCGTCTTCTCTTGTATCATCGGCGGGTTGGGACGGAGAGGGCTCGGAGGTGTCGCTAGCTTCCTCGGAGGTGGGCTCGAGCTTAGAGGGCTCCTTTTTGGACTTGTGCCGTGGTAGACGTGGGAGCGCCGGTAGCGATCGGAGGAGTTTGGAGCCGGAGATCTTGCGCCGGTGTTTCTCGGTCTTGGAAGAGGAATCCTTCTTGAGGACGGTCGTCTTTGACAAGTCGGAGTCGTTCTGGCGGCGCTGTTTGCGATGCAAGAGATGGCCGATGCCGCCGTGGACCTTGTCGTCGCCACCATCCAACTTATCGGCACCGTGACGGCGAGTGGGTTCGTCCTCGTCGGCGCTCTCCTCGTCGCTGGATTCAAAGCGATCGTGGAAGTCAACCCGTGAGCCGGCGGCAGCAATGAGACCGAAGATGGACTGGTTCATGTTCATAAACATAGGCGGGCCCTGCTGCGGTACTAAGTCCTCCTCTCTACTATCGTCGCCCTCCTTTAACCTCTCTGGTAGTTCCATGGCCGGGGTATTTGATTCGTGCCGCTTCTTCTGTAACTTTTTGCCGACGCGCTTCTTTACATCGTCCTCGCCGAAGCTGACGCTCGCAGCGCCAGCTGGAGCGGGCGACGCCATCGCTATCGGGGTATTTGGTCGGTCGGTCGGTCGGTTGGAGGCAGTCGAGTGGTACCTTAGGTCGAGAGCTACCTTGGCGAGGTAGGACTGTTGACAACCTCTTTGTGCGGGCGGCACGGATGGTGGAGAGGCGGGGAAGGGCGAAAGCGAAGTAGACGATGCTGCGGCAGCGGAAGCGTCGCACTGCGGAGAGGAAGGCGGGAGGGTGGAGGAAGAGTCGTGTGGCTACAGCGGGTTCATTCGGGCGATGACGATAAGGTTTGAGGTTGCGGGAGGGTTACGGAATAGAGAACGAGGCAGAACGGGCCCAAAGTCTGAAGGCGATAAAGTACAGAGTTAATGGCCAGGTCAGGTAAGGTAAAGTAAGGTAAGCAAGGTAGCAAAGTAAGCAAGGTGAGGTAAGAAGGGTATCCGTGGGTTGGGCCGTTGGTTTGGGATGAAGACGGAAAGACAGCCAGAGACACGGCGGTAACCTTGAAGAACGGATTGTGTAAGAGAGAGACGACAGAAGTTGAGGAGGGTGGCACAAAGACAAGAGTCAAAAGGGTTAGGTAAGGCAAAGAAGGCAAGGTACTTTACCGCCTAGCTAAGGTAAGGTAGCAGGTCAGAGAGTAAGGTAGATAGCATAGTACAAAGCAAAAGAAATGAGGACTGCGGATTGTCTGAGTGGTTTAGGCACCTCGCTGATCAGATAGGAAACAGTTCAATGAAGGTTATTATTGCTGCGCCTGAACCCCGGAAAAGACGGGGACTGACTGGGATACAATTGATGGATGGCTCAAATGGCAAGGGGAAAGGCGGCAATTCACAGCCATCTACCAAGTTCTAAGGTGTTTGTTTGTTAGGCAGTTCGGTTCCGTCGCATTCACCTCAGATATCCATAAGGTAAGTAGACAGTCGAGATAACCGGGAGCAGCCAGCCCAGGCCTCTTCAGGTAGAATGAGAGTGAGTGTCTTGGGAGAGTCAGAGACTCATTCTCTCACAGTCTCACTTGCTTCATTGTCTTCCAAATGTGCACTAGCAGCACCTTAGCAGCAGCTGGACTCCCCCAAGTTCTGTGCGCAGCTGCACGCGATGCTGCGCCAAAAGTACGCGCATTTCCTCCTCTCTATCCGCAATATGCCCGTACCTTGTGGACCTGGGATGCATGGGTGTCGTGGGTTGTTCTCTCAGGGGTCCAGTCATTCCTCTCACTTTCTCTCTATGTGCTTTTTTATTGGACCGGTGTCTTGAACAGAGTGGGTTCATCTTTGGTCGCTCCAATGTCTGATTGCATGAAGCTTGTGATGGCCCATGTGTGAGTGGTCCCCTGCCTGCTTCTGCCTCTGCTTACCCAGTTACCAGTGAGTGAATCAGTCTCTGACTGGCCATACTGAGATGTTGGGTCCTATCTCCTCTTCTCACTCCTCAGGTCTCTTTACGCAGAGGTGAGAATGAGATGAGAGATGAGAGGCAACAGATGAAATGAGAAGGAATGCCCGGGAAGGCGCTATGGGGACCCACAAGTACAAAGGTACAAGTGACTGCAACCAAGTCCCCTGTGGATCCCCGACATATCCCGCCTTCCCATTGGCCTCTGATTAAGCTTCCTTATCGATAAGCCACTCCCATGACGCCAAAGTGCCCCCATCCGGGTCCCATCACAAGATCTTGACAAAAGACATGGATTGCCATGTGAGCCGACCACTCCGGCCCAGCGCCGCCAGCCTGACCTCGCTCGCTCCCGTCAGACCCGAGGCACACATTATTGTCTTCATCAGCAGATACATATGGAGACCACTCATTATTCTCCTTCAAAACACGTTGATATTTAGTCTTCAGTGGCCAAATACAGTCAGTCACCACCTGAGCTCAGACATACTCACAGACCCAAAATCAAGGTGAGAGTGAGGGGACCAAGCCTAAAATGACATCAGCCCAGAGTGACCGCAAACGACACTCTCTGGCATGAGCATCTGCCCGAGCACCAAGATTCGTATCGCGGGGGCATCCCAGATCTGCCCCATATCATGTCCCCTCTTTTGTTGAGAGCCGCCCAAGCTCCGACTGAGAAAATCAACAAGCGCATTCAACATCGTCAAATCTCATTGTTTATTATTGTCTGACAAGAGTTTTCGAGCCAGATGGGCCATACTGTGCTGGGTCTGTAGCCCTCACTCGCAATATGCTCCAGCGATAGGAATATCATACTGATGTCGGGTTTGAACGAGTGCAAAACAGAATACCGAAAATGTCCGTACCCGTATGAACACTTTGAGATTTGATTACACATCTATTGTAATGTAATGAATTAGATACGTCGTCCCTTGCTTTGCGTGATAGTTGTCTCTAAGCCTTACGCAGTGGGCTGAGATCAACTGCCTTCCTCTTGCACAATACCAGACTGTATCTCAATGTCTCAGTTCAAAACCGGCCACTCAGAAATCACGAAATTCTTATGCGAAAAGCTTCGCTAAGACTGATGATGCATTCCTTATCTTTTTCCAATCTGTCAGCAACGGTTGTTCCAATTGAATCGATGTAAGTAATGGATCGAAGGCGCACTCATGAATGGTGAGATATAATTTCTTACCACAGTGCCCTGGACTTGACAGCTTCCAACCTCCTCATGCAAGAACGACCCATGGAAATGACTAGCAGGAGTCCGGCTTGGACTGGCAACGACACCAAGGTGCGCGATCGCAGAGCTTGACTGAAGCCGAGATCCGGACCCGAAATGCCGGTCACCATCGCCGAATACTACTGCGGGGGCGGGGCATCAACACCCGCGCGAGAGGGGGAGACGGGAAGTGACGACGTTGCGCAGTATATAGAACTCAATCCGTTTCTTGACATCATCTCACATTTCCTCTGCTCACTGAGTGTCTATTCTCCGTCTCAAGCTTTCATTCATCGCTGCAAATCTTGGGCTTGCCTTTAATTGAGGAAACCACGGACCACCACCAAGCGTATTCTTACCTTGAGATCTAGCCCAGCATGAGGTATCTCAGATCCCCTCACGCACTGCTCACCTTGCTCACCTTCTTAGCCTGTTTGGCGTAGGTGACTGCCTTTTTCTTTCAATCTGTTGATGAAGAATCTCAAGGCTCGCATAAACATGAGCTTTCAAACACTAACTTCACCCAGTCCCTCGTCGCAACAAAATCCCCCCTTCAACGAGAGTAATCTCCCAGCAAACCGCACATCCGCCGCCTTTCCCCTCCCTGTTCCAACCCTCGACCTCGACTTCCGCATCGTCGTTGACCTCAACCCGCTCATCCCCGTCGGCGTCGGCCCGTTCGGCCAGCGGAACTGGATTTCCTTTTCCGGGGGCGCCTTCTCGGCCAAGTGGGGCACCGGCACCGTCGTTGCCGGCGGGCAGGATAGCCAGATTGTCGTCAACGAAACCCTCAGCACCGCCGTCGAGACGTCGTATCTGCTCAAGACGGATGATGAGACGCCAGCGTACATTACTGTGAAGACGACGGGCTGGCGGACTGGGCCGAGGGAGGTCATGGAGAGGTTGTTTGATCCGGCTAGGGCGAATGATGTCAAGCCCTCCGAGTATAGCTTCCGGTTGAATGTCAAGATGGAGACGGGAGATGAGAGATACAAGGATATTGTTAACACTGCCATGTGGGTTGGTAGTGGTGCTCGGTTAGGAGCTACGGTCATCTATGATGCTTACCGGGTGGTTTAATCGCGCGACTGAGTCCTCAGCAGCATGGAGATAATCAACAATACAACCCTTCAATCAAGGAGAGCCGTTTTATGTGCCTTAATGAGTAGTTATATATAGACATTATCAAATATTTATACTTGTGCAAGATTTTGTGATGGTGCTTACCTACTTGACACTTTTCCCTCGACATATTCTCAGGATCAAAAATGACATGAATTACGTGGGAAAAATCAGTACAACACCAACCACCGCCTAAAACCTGTTCGACTAAGGAAGAATTTGTTGTAGTGCAATATTATTCAAAGAAATAATTATAAACTACATGAAAATGACGAAAGCCAGATACCAGCGATGGCCCATACTCCTGTTCACCACTGTAAGGCTTCATAAATAGCCACTTACGCAGTGGAAAGTCATAGGCTGGCCGGTTCACTCACTTCTTTAGCCTCAACCAGGCTCCGAGGTTCTTCTTCATTTCAATAAATCCAGTATCAAGACTTCCGAGCTTTGATAAGAGGATATAGGATGAAGACTGCGAATGGAAGAAGACCTCTGCCTACACGAGTGTTCACTTGTCATATTACGCGATGAATCTACATACTAGTGCCCATGGTAGAAGAATGACAGAGGCCAAGTCTCAAATCCTTTGGGCATGCTGTGGAACTCATGATACCTCTCTTCTTTGTATCTTAGTGGCCATCACCTTCCCTGGTAGGTAGTGACCAGGGACTCTGCTTGGAATAGTGGTCATCTTCCACTCAAGACAGCTTCTCCTACTCAGCAATTCACCTAGCTGATGGTTTACTTATTGTTTTACTCTTCCGCTGTTTGTTTCCTTGTGTCTCTAAAGGCAATTGAATACAGGTACCCTTGCTTTCACTCCTGGGTTAAAAGAAATTGGTGCGGGTATGCGCCTTCATGGCAGTATGTTCGACGGCAAACGGTCACGTATCAGTCAAAGCAATGTAATCAAAAGTTCTTTCCTCCAATTCTTTTCAAAAATGCTTCTTGTTGTCCAAGCAACGCCTGGCCGAGAGACTGTAGACAGTATCAAAGCCGCATAACAGCGTCCAAGACTATGATGACCACTGTAAACACACAGAGCTGGTGGCGTCTGCATACAGACTGGATTGTAAACAACCTCAAGTATCCTAGCTTCCAGAATCCTCCAGAACCATTTGATAAAGTTGACGGCCTGAAGCATCAGTCACCGCAGTAATGACCTCCTATCCACCAACGCCGCGCAAAATGACATGCCAATTCCTTCCCTCCTCCTATTGCCAGGAAGACAATCCAATATACACGAAAACTCAGTGGTATAGTACCTGTATTTCCAGGCTTACTGCCACAAGCACAGCTTTCCACTTGCTGTACCACCAGCCACCCAGTCCATCGTCGGATGGAAGTGAGCGACAGCTGGGACAGCCGAGATGCCGTCTCCGCCCAACTGCGCAAGTTGCTCGCCATTTGCGGCGTACACGTCGACGAAACGGTTCATATTACCGATGACGAACTTCTGAATGCCGTCCTTCGGGCGCTTTTGCCACTGGGGCTTGAGGATGGTCACCCATCGGCCAGTTTGATTGTTGTGCTTCACGATATGCTTGGGCTCCATCTCGGTGCTCTTGTCCCAGTCGGTACGGTCCGCCCAGTCATAGATCTTGATGGTATCATCGTAGGACGATGTGGCGATCTGCCCACCAGGGCTCCAGGACGCGTGAGAGACTGAAAGCCGAGAATTGTGCTCGTAGAGCATGGCAGGGTGTCGCATATCACCCTTGCCGGTGATCTTCCGCAAGTCCCAGATCTTGACCGTTCTGTCGAGAGATGCGGTAGTAAGAAGGTGCGGCTCGCGCGGGTTCAATGAGAAACCTCCAATCTTGTTGTCGGATAACTGCCACATCTCCGTAGACTTGGGGTCGCGGATATCGACCTTTCCAACGGCGCCATTGAGTGTAGAAAAGTAAATGATGTTCTTGTCTGTAAGGGGGATGTCGATGGCGGACAAGGGGATATCCTCATTCTTGTCCTCAGGCTCCCAGACGGGCAAACATACGTCTTTTTCCAGGTCAAGCACACGGACAGTAGAGTCGTATGAGGATGTGTAGACCTTTTGCTGCTCGAAGGGAGAAACGATAATGGTTGTGATTGTTCTGGTATGGATTTTGTAGGCGCCAATCTTAGGGTCAAACCAGGCGTCCTCGTCCTCGTCGTCGTTCTCGGGGGGGCCATCCTGAGAGGCGTCGAAAACACCTAGAGCGCCTTCCTTATCGCCGGCGAATACCAGGGGTTTGTCCTCGGTAGGGTGAAAGGTGGCCGCATATATGCGCAACGGACATATTTTGATATCTGGGAATAGGTTAGATGAGCAACTACAGCTAACGACGAACATAGGTTATTTGACGTACCCTGGGGACTCCACTTCTCGTACAGCTCGAGCTTGCCCATCTTCTTGCGCAACTCCTTCAGGTCCTTATCGGACGTGTTTTCCACGTCTTCGTCCGTGAAGGTCGGTACACCGGGCTGGGCACCTCGAGGGACCAGTGCACTTAGGCCGGTGATCCCGTTGTTGAACTTCTTGCCGTCGACGGCGATGTCTCCCAAACTAAGGTTGCCACCAATTCTCGTCTTCTTGGCTTTTTCCTGCGCGGCCTTTTCTTCAACCTCGACTTCGTACTTGCGCTTAAGGGTTTCGTTGTCGGCATCGAAGCCTGCAACACGAGCACTTCGACGGACCGGGCCAGTCGAGGCAACAGGCTCTTTCTTCACGGGGGTGGATCGGGACTTTGGTGCTGGTTTGGGCTTGGGGGGCATGATCTTATTCGAAGCCTTGGCCAAGTCATCCAGCATGGTCTTGTTCTTGGCAATATTTGCAAGGCGCATCTTCTCGAATGCACTCATCCCCTGCTCCTCCTCGGCCTTGACCTTTGTGCGAGCCATAATGCGGTTTGCCGGATGGGTATGAACAGGAAGAGGTAAATGTATGCAATCTGACGGTGGTCGACCCGGAGAATGAGTTGTGTATTCGGAAGTCTTGGAATAAAGTCAATTTGCAAATATGTATCAGGCTGTGCTTATGTTTGCGCTGGGCAGCGTTCGTACTCGTCGGTAGCGGGCTGTTCACGACAGAGTTGAGCAGGTTGAAGTGGTGATGAAGAGGGAGTTTGTGACTTACTGCGAGAATTGCAACCTCAGGAACGCAATTGAAATGCCAATCTTTGTTTTGATCTGTCGCAACAGTAGCCCAGACCCAGGAGTGGAATTTGTGAGGCCACAAGAGAAAGTTGGAAATATCCGCGGAAAGAAAAAAGAAAAAAAAAGAGGCAATTCAGAAGGAGTAAGATAAATCACGACAGAAGGAGCGCGGTGGAGGCGAACCTGCCTAACTGAAAGCGCGTCGCAACGCGTTGAGCTTCCCGGCGGTTACAGGGGGTTTAATGTCTATTACGTCAGCTAACAGCACAGCATCCCCCAGTGGTCCCTGCATGGCCCGAGCTTCCCCTGTTGGATTTTTGGACGGAAATTTTGTTGCATCTGCAGATTCGCAACTTTTTGATCATCGCAAAGTGAAGTGCACAGCTTGTGCTTCCAACCGTACAACACACATACACACACAGACACACACACACACACACACACACACACACACACACACACACACACAGACAATGGCTACAACATTGACGCCCTTCCTCTACCAAACGAGGACAATCCTCAGGGCATCAGTCTCTGTTCGATCCCTCTCGACAACCGCAGGCCGGCTCCACGCCCACCCCCGAAGCCGCGGCGAGCAGAGCATCCCCTTCGAATGGGACGGCCCTGCCCACGAGCGAACCGATATCCCCAGCGGCCCAGACGGCGAGAGAAAGTCCACTATTACCCCGACCGAGAGACAAGTTTTCCGTGCAATCTTTGACGATATTGCGAAGCGCGGCGGCCAGGTTCCGCCACACGCAGCTACCCCGGATGCTGCCTCCTCCTCGCAAGTCGAACCCGAACCCGAGTCCGGATCTCGCGATGCCATCCTGCGAAAATACCCCCCTGCTCTGCGCCGCGCGGCTGAGGTCGCGCTTGGAATGCGCCAGGTTCAAGGCGACCAGCTGACCTCGTCGCGCATCTCCTTCAAGCCGGAAGAGGAACTCGAATCAGACCTGGAGGAAGCCGCAAAGCTCGAAGCTGCGCGGAGGGACGCCCGCGCCCAAGAAGCTGTGCGCCTACAGGCCCTTCTGGACCACTGCAACACCGACGTTGAGGTCTGGAACGTTTTGGAACGCGACGTCTTCTCCATGGTCGCAAGGCTGGGTATCTCTGAAGACAAGCAGCGCCAGCCGGATCCGGAAAAGAAGGCCAAGCCCTCGTTGCACAAGAAGTCGTCCAAAAAGGCCCAGCCAGACGCCCTCAGCATGGACTCGCATGGTCCGCTGTACTCGATGCACCTCCTGCAGGGCCTCAAGACCCTTGACCAGTCATTTGCGCACTCCTCCCCACTGGCGTTGAACGTCCTCCCTCGTGTTAAGGAGCTCGGCCTAGCCTCGTATGTCCTCGGCGTCTCTACGCCATTCTACAACGAGCTGGCCTCTATACTCTGGTACCGCCACGGTGATACCCAGGCTGTGCTCGCCGTGTTGGACGAGATGCAGTTCGCGGGTCTCTTCTACGACATGCAGACGCTGCGCCTCATCGATACCATTGAGCTGGCCCTAGACTCTTTCCGTGGCGGCAAGCTGGGGGTGTTCTCCCAGGCTGTTGGCACCATGCCGGGCTACAATCTCGATGTCAAATCAAGAGTGGCGCGTTACGCGCGAAGGGTCCGCCATAGTCTCAGAGAGCACAGGGGTAGTGCACGATACTAGGACTCCCGGTGTATAGTCAGCTGATGATGGATGATTGCCGCCAAGGCCTGAGAGAGAGGCGAGGCTGCTTGTACAAGACACTGTAGCATATCTGTAAACATAACACTACGTATAGCGAAACCCTCATCAGGATTGGAATCATGGAAAAGGCGCACGGCGCTCCTG